CTAAGATTGGTGAGGCTGCTCCACCCATCGGTAGTCCTAATTTTTGTTTGTAAAATTTACTATCAAATGAGAAATAAGTATGATTATACAAAAAGGCAATAATCTCTACGAACACTGTTTTTGGAATATTGCAATTCGGTTGTATTAGGTCAAAATGTTCTTCCATAATTGAGGTTATCAAGTCAAGAGGTATATTGGTGAATAGTGAGACAACATCAAAAGACACCACTACGAAGTTATTTGGTATAACTGTGTTATTGATTTTTTGTGCGAAATCAAAAGTATCTTTTATTTTAAATTTGTTAAACGTATCAAAGGAGGTAGTTAACACCTCAGATATCATTTTAGCTAACGGTTGAATAGAGGATTTAATGCAGGATACTATAGGTCTAAGAGGTATCTCTGGTTTGTGAACTTTGGGTAATCCATAATATTTTGGACAGATGGATTTTATGGATTACCCAAAGTTCACAAACCAGAGATACCTCTTAGACCTATAGTATCCTGCATTAAATCCTCTATTCAACCGTTAGCTAAAATGATATCTGAGGTGTTAACTACCTCCTTTGATACGTTTAACAAATTTAAAATAAAAGATACTTTTGATTTCGCACAAAAAATCAATAACACAGTTATACCAAATAACTTCGTAGTGGTGTCTTTTGATGTTGTCTCACTATTCACCAATATACCTCTTGACTTGATAACCTCAATTATGGAAGAACATTTTGACCTAATACAACCGAATTGCAATATTCCAAAAACAGTGTTCGTAGAGATTATTGCCTTTTTGTATAATCATACTTATTTCTCATTTGATAGTAAATTTTACAAACAAAAATTAGGACTACCGATGGGTGGAGCAGCCTCACCAATCTTAGCTGAAATCGTTATGAATAAATTGTTGTATTTTGTATACCAACAGGTACAATTCCAAATTCCTTTTCTCTACCAATATGTTGATGATTTAATAACATCAGTACCAAAAGATGAGATACAAAATACACTCACAATTTTCAATTCATTTAATTGTCATTTACAATTCACTGTTGAGGAGGAGTCAAACTCTTCGGTACCCTTTCTTGATACAAGAGTTGTTAGAATGGATGATAACACCATCTGTTTAGATTGGTATAGAAAAACTACCAATTCAGGTAGATACATACCCTTTAACTCATATCATCCCATGAAACAGAAAGTTAACACCGTTCTAGCAATGAAAAATAGAATATTAAAAATTTCACATCCAAACTTTACTGAAAAGAACTTAAAACTGTTGTTTGACACACTAATATGTAATAATTATCCAAGAAACTTGCTTAACAAACGTTGTATTCACACACAGAACGCAGTGCACGTGGCAATACTTCTATTCATGATCGATCGACATCTGATGACGTCGTACAGGTGAAGTATGGATCATTACCTTACATTGAAGGTTTAACACAATCTCTAACTAGACTTTTTAGACAATTCAACATCAAAATAGCCAATTATAATAACAAAAAACTCAACTTGTTCTACTCTAAATTAAAAGATCCTATTCCACCAGATAAAAACTGCAACGTAATCTATGGTATACCCTGTGAATGTGGCAAAATATACATAGGCCACACAAGTCAACGACTTAGTAAGCGCCTAGCCCTTCACAAAAGTGATTGTAAACACAAACCCCTAGCAACAAGTTTGAGTATCCATGTCAACGATAATGACCATCGGGTCTTATACAATGAAACTATAATTCTAGATAGAGCTGAAAAAGAAGCTCATCGAAAAATCCTAGAAATGTGTTACATCAATAATTGTTCTAATTCATTAAACCACAAAAAAGATGTTGATAACTTGAGTTCCATCTATACTTATGTTTTACAACAGAAATTCACTAAAAATAAAAAACTACCACCTTATTACACAAGAATTACATAACATTGCTGATCCACACTTCACTGAAACGTACGTTTGATGTATTTCGACCTCTTATGACTTAGTTGATTGCCTGCACTAAATTTATACTTTTATTCAATTTAACTTACAAGTCAATATGTTAATAATTTTAAATAAAAACAAAAACATTTTACAACTTAACGTCATATACAAAGAATGTTTTTCCTTTTGTATATTTTATGTTCAGTCAACTAGACTATATCGTCTATTGTTAAATCTTAGCATATCTGTAAATGTCCGACCCTTCTTTGGACATATTGTGTTTATACTACTAACATAAATGAATGTTATAAAAAAACAACGAAATATCTGTGATATACACTAACATCTATCCGGATGTATTACCTCCCTTTTGAGAACAAGCTCCAACTTTTAGTTTTATTTTTACATCCATCAGCATCATGATACACTTAGTTCTCTAACAGAAGGTATGTAATACATACATCTTACCGGAGTGTTGACCACTATATACAACACTAAATACAAACCAAAAGAATTTTAAACATGATATGCTCATATAGAACGGGAACTATATACACGCGTATGTGTGTGTGCATGTATATATATGTGTATATGGATATATATATGTATATATGTGTGTATACATATATTCAATTTTAATTGTGATTTTAAACGGAATTCATTATTCAGCCATAATAATGTGACTGAAGAAAGGTAGTGTCTTATAACCAACAAAAAGAAGAATTAATTAAGACAGGTGCCGTATCGATAAGTGACAGTCGATATGACACATGACTTAATTAATCAATGTCTTGTCAAAAATAATACCAGCCACATGGTGATTAAAATATAACAAATTTAATAATTAATTAATTTAAGCTTTGTTTGCCGTCTACCTCTAAGTAGGAGATGCGTTTTGGTTTGTATTTGAAAAACAATGTGTAGTTCCACATCTGCAATAATTTACACTAAGAAATAGTGTCAACGTTAAGGTAATATTAAATATAACATCTTTAATTACGATGATTGTAAAGAATGTTTTTCCATTACAGCAAGTTCTGATGAAGCCCAAAAATTATGTGGCGAAAGCTTGACTACTAATAAAAGACACTCACTTTGAAGCACCTGTTTTTTATTGCTTCCTTAGTATTGGGTCGTTCCCGGTTACCTTCAATTGTCTGTTATTTACCAGTAACCCGTTACTGTCCTTGATATTATATATATATATATATATATATATATATATATATATATATATATATATATATATATATATATATATATATATATATATATATATATATATATATATATATATATATATATATAATTATATATATTATTTTTAACTCTTGGATCGATACCTTTTCTTTTTTGATATTTGATATTGACTCTTGTGATACTTTCTACCAGCGAGCGGTCTGAGTCTGTATTGGCACCTTGTCTGCTATGCACATTTATTGCACTGATTGATGTTAATGACAATATGATATATCTTGTTAGTTTACTGTGACCCCATCCTGAGATCTCCATATTCTCTTATGAATGTTTTGCGTGGGAAGCATGTATTGACAATAATCGTATGGACATAAGTTGCTGTGGTTTGGTTTTTAACCAGAAGGAATAATTCAAATTTACCGCGCCGTAACGCTTGTATGTAATTGGTCTAACCGCAGGCAAGTTTACTCCACTGATATATATGACATTGTGAAACTAATGACATTTATGAAATTTTAAAATTCAAAATTTATATGGACGATTTTTTGTATTTTCTGCGTTATTCCTTAAATTTTTGGATTTTTCGTTTACATTTATATAAAAATAGTTCTTTTCAGAACTATTTAGCGACGTATTAGTGTTATTAAGATAACAATATGGATTCAATGCCAACTACTAGAGGTAATTATCCTTCTCCACCTAAAAAACGCTGAGTAGATTTGGGTCATTTATCATCAAATAAAAAACAATGCATTATAAACATGTACAAACAAATAAAAACTGATAATCCTGTAATGAAAATAGTAGCCATAGTAGCAAAAATAAAACACGCAACAGGTTAGTTTTGCAGAATAGTTATTGTTAAAATCAAGACTTACTAATGTGCTAATTTTAGATATTGCGAATTCAACTATTTACAGAACAATTAAGGAATATAAGCAGACTGGAACGGTAAGAGGTCCTGAACAGTAAGAGAAAAGAGTTAAAACATCTGTGCGACAGATAGTACATAGCTTCTTTTTCAAGAATGAAATGTAAATATGTGTCGTTCATTATTATATAAATTCTTGAAGCAAATCAATTTTAAGTAAGTAAATATGGGTTAGCGACAATTATATAGTAAATAAAAGGTGCAACCCCCCAAAGAATATAATTATGTCTGAGGGAATCAATTAGAAGATAAAGAGCTTCATTCTTTATAAGACCAGTTGATAAATGAAATTATCTTGGTAAATATTGGATAAATGTCTGAATGAAGTAATAAATACACTCTAAAAATTCTTCAAATTGTTCATAACAACACAACATTTTTTTATTGTAATTAGAAAAACAAAAAAATATATTGGAAGTGAATCGAAAAAAATTATTATTCAAACGCAAACAAACTTAGGTTAGAAACGACGTGTGAGATTGTCCGATACTGATTACTGGATTACCAGAAGGCCGAGATAATCAAACAAAAAAGATGTATTTGTTGACTTTTCTAGTAACTTTCTGGGGTGTGAATCTATCTTTTTAGTTTACTCCACCTGATTAAAAAACAAACCATAGTACTATTATCATTGGTGGCATTAGGATATTTTGATATAGTATCAAAAATACCATTCGCTATCTAGTGACCTTCAAAGAAAGGGCCAGATAATGTCATAGTGTTAGATGCTATTATGCTTCTAATTGATTCATGTAGAAATGGTCCTTTGCTTACAGAATAAAATGTTGTGTATCAACCAAAGCTGTACGAATTGAGATATTTCTTATCTTATCTTCTTCTCCAATTGTCTCGTATGTAATGAGACCAAAAGGTCGGAATTAAGATAATATTACTATTTAATTCTACTTTAAATTTAATTTAATTAAGACTGAACTTATTGTTCTAGGTAAAAGTTAGTAAATCCATGGACTTCGACGTTCAACATGCATCTCTTAGAGACGAAGACTTTTATAAACAATACGATATTGAAGTACTTAAAGGAGTCGAAGCTACTGCTGTAGATTCCAGTAATCATAGCGTTACGTTAAGTAATGGAAAAGCATTAAACTACGATAAACTCTTCATTGCTACTGGCAGTCTTGCAAGAAAGTTAAACGTACCTGGTAGCGATTTGAAGAACGTTGTAACCCTTAGAGAATATAGCGATGCTCAGTAAGTTACTTTTGATCTTTTTTAATATAACTTAACTTACTTTAAATATTTTAAATTTTACTATTATTAAAGGCGAGTCCGAAAAATAAGACGAAATCAGTAGATTTTACATCTATAGGTTCAATTTTAGTTACATTAATTGTTTACATTTTAAATGGAGTATCAACTCTCTGCACCGTTCTCGCCTTTTTTAGTAAACTTGCTGTTCAATATTTGCTGTATTAATTCCTATCGTTCTTCGCCTCAATTATAAAATCATTACCCTAGTCAAACCCTTGGTAATACTTTATACTCTCACTTCAACCGCATTTCTTTAGAAATACAAATCCTGAGAGGGAAAAAAATTCTCACTCTGTTCTTCATTTATTTTACTAAATTCACCTTTATAAAATGTATATGGTATAACATAATTCAGGTATCTTCCCGAGCTCATCGGTTTCTTATATAGTCGGTTCGCTATATTTACGCGGGTTTCGGATTGACAAAATTATGCTAATGACTCATTGATAACCAGTTGCAGTAAACGACTTCCCAGAAAATTAGGTAAAAACTGCATTAATGGTCATATTTTAAAATACATTAAAATAACATTAGGGTAGGTATAAATTTGTTACAATATTGCAGTTGAATTGATTCTTTGCCAAAGTTGACATGGTATGTTTGGAAGAAATATTTAAAAATGCCTAGACGTGTGTTAGATGTAGATAGTCTAATTTGTAGTGTACATAAGTATTTTACGGATGAAAAAGAAAATGGCGGTCCTTTAAAATCGGTAATGTCTGTTCAACAACGCGTATGTTATGCTCTAGGAATTAGTGAAACCAAACTAAGAGGAGTATTACAAAATCGCAATAATGAACGGCCGAAAGAAGATCACCGAAAAACTCGCCTATCATTGAAAACGAAAGATATTCCAGATGGAAAAAAATTTGAAATTCGTGATACCATTTATCGAATGCGAGCCAACAAGGAACATGTGACCTTAAATACAATTCTCTCGGAATTAAAAGATAGAAAATTTGACGAAATTGGCAGAACAATTATATGGCAAGTGATACATAATTTGAGTTTCAAATTTCAAAAGGAGGATAACAGAAAAGCCCTTTGTGAAAGAAGTTCTGTTGTGCATAAAAGAATTAACTTTCTAAGAAAATATTCTAAATTTAAAGAAGAAAGGGCAAAATTTATATATTTAGACGAAACATGAATATTTTCTAGGGGTGCAACCAAGAGAATATGGCAAGCTGATAACGTAAAGTCTATCAAACATACTGATGGAGATGGGAATCGACACATAATTTTTCATGCAGGAGGGAAATCGGGTTTTATAGAAGATGCTGATTTAATATTTTCATCTAAATCAAAATCAAGTGACTATCATGATAACATGAACACAGAAATGTTTGTTAAATGGTTACATGAAAAACTTCTCCCAGGTTTAAGTGAGCCCAGCGTATTTATTTTAGACAATGCACCTTACCATTCTTAAGTATTAAACATAAGTCCAACGAATTCTTGGACTGTTAATAAAATTAAAGAATGGTTGATAAAGGAACATATACCATTTACACAACATATTTTAAAATCAGAATTATTACGCTTGGCAAATATCCACGCAAAACCAAAAACCTTTGTTGTGGATCAGATTATTTAAAGTTACGGTCATCAAGTTTTACGTCTGTCACCGTATCATTGCCAGTTTAATCCCATCGAATATACCTATATGTGGAATAGCAAAACAATATTATGACAACCATATTGGGCCTAACGGTTATAGCGACGACGCAGTTCGAGAAACTTGGCGAAAGGCACTTTCAATTGTAACTCCAGAAGTGTGGTGCAACTGTATATTCAAGTGCGAGAAACTAATAGAAGATTGGTGGACTCGTGAAAATAAAATAAACGAAATACCTAAGTCCAATCATAATAACAATTAATGGTGATGACAGTGATGATGATGACGACTATGATATTTTTGATGATAATGACTGATTTTCATTTTTGTTGGCAAGTTAAATTTTTTTATTTTTCATTAGAAATTCTCTCCATGGAACAAATATACATAGACCATATATTCTGTGTGAAGTGTAATATAAAATTATTATTAGGTTTATATTAGCCACATTAGACTCCATTAATCAAGTAATTCTCCTTATTATACTGTCAATTATATAAAAGATTTTCCATTATTATTTAATTAAAAAAATTTATGGATTATTTTTCATTTCATTTGACCAGTTGATATTTCCCCAAAGTTAATCCGAAACCCGCGTAAATATATCGAACCGACTATACCAATCAACTACTATTTCATTGTATATAGAACGAATGAGAAGTGTATCCAAAATGGGAACAGAATATTCACCATCTTCCATTTCAACAGTAAATTTTATGTAAGGATCATAACTGGTAAACGTGAATAGTAATTCATCCACTCACTATATCTTTAGATAATGCCAATCATAAAAGGGCCTTTGAAAGATACAGTTAGTAGTACTATATCTAACAAATCATTAATGAAATATGTGGCAAGAATATGTCTTATTTTTGCTTCCATTTATTAAAATTTAACCATATCAAAGAATTTGACTTTAGTAATTTTGCAATGTTTGGTAATATCAGACTATTTTTGTCTATAGATCTTAGACAAAAATTTAAATATACATTGCTAAAAAGTGATTCCAAATATAGCCAATACATAGTTTTGGGGTAGAAACATATTGAAAAGTTTACTCATTTCAAAATAATCTTTAATATAATAACTGATATTCTTACTAATGTATGTGATATGAATAACCCATATTCTATTATGTCCGTTATTACATAAAACAACCCATATTAAATAACCAATAAGTTGAGTTTTAAAATATTCTGGGGAGGTACTTTTGGCGATGGTCTTTTATTATATCTGATTGTGCACCTTTGCATACGAGTAGAATTGCCATTAAGCAGCTTTTAACTATTTAGTTTGAAATTAAATTTTGAACTATTTGCTTACATTACAGAGATAGGGCAGACAAAATAATCGAAACTGATGCGTACGGCACTCAGAGGGTTGTTGGAGAGCTGGGTCGTGGAAAAGTTGAAATAAAATTGGTCGGATTGGGGTATCTACAAAATGAAAAAAAAAAGGGATACTTACATAAATCTCCTGGGTCAAAAACGAAATAATATATGGCAGACAAGGTTACCTCAAGCTATTTCTATTTGGACGCCGCTTTGAAGAAAACTTCCTGCTGGGAGAAAGAAAAAATTCTCCTTCCCTAAAATCAAAAATACATACAAGGATTAGAAGACTTTTCTAAATTAAAACAGTCCACACAAAATGGATCAGACAAACAAATCAAAAGTTTATTTTTGTCTCAAACCAACAGTTTTCAAAAATACAGATTACACAAGAAGCATAATATATAACACAATACAAATTAACAAAAACTTACTTGTTATTTGTTTACAACAGAGATTGTACAAAAATTCTTAAAATGGTTCTTAGGTTATAATATGACCAAATTAGATTATCAAAACTTAAGGATATTCTTTTTATGAAAATACTGTAGAATTTAACCTTATATATGAAATATCTTTTCTATATAATAATCAAATGAAAATTGTTTTACAACAACAATGGATTAGATGCAAAATGTCATATGTCAACATAACATTTTAAGACAAAATAAAATATGACATTTTTTAGCTACGACTCTAACGTAATATAAAACTTATGATTACAAATTATTTTATTTTAATGAAAGCAATTATCAAAAATGTCTATATAACTTGAAAAAATTAATATATCAATTGTTACATTATTTTCATATATTGCACTACTTAACTTAAAAAAAAACTTGCTACATCTTTTGGGAAGCTACTTGGACAAATTCTCAAACTGGAACACTAAAACTGGTACTCAGGAACGACGATCTAAGACGTGAATGGGGTCGAATCAAGCAGGCAAACAAAAAAAGGCCGGTGGGGTCATCCTATATATTAATCTTTTCAAAATTTCATCAGTTTCCGATACGCTGTATAAATCTTATCGTGATTACTCTGTCTAAACTGCGTTTAATGCAAAGAGTATTATCATATTGACTGATCTTAAAACATAACCAAAAAAAATTGAATCGACTTTCGGTTCAAAGTCGCCATAACACGTCTTTTCAATTTAACTGCCCTAGCTTGACTGCCTTACTGCGTTACATTCTACAAATTCCACGCCACAATCCATTTCCTTAAACAAAAACCAAACTTAAAATCCAACTTAAACAAACAAAAACCTTCGACAAGTGTTCATAACAACCTTGAAATATCCCCATCACTATTGCGTGGTAGAAAATTGAATACCTGACTTGCATTTTATTTGTGGGCTCATGTAAACAAATGGTTTTCAACTACAAAAAACTTCTCTTGAAATATATACTCTTAAATTGGGTAAAAATAACACGTATTTATTGATTATTCTAGCGTCCCTAATTTTAAACCGGAGGTTCTACCTGACATTACAACAAAGACAAAAAAATATTTGAAGCGTTATTACGCATTTAAGTATCTCAACTTAAAGATGCTATAACATATTGATCGTTTTAAAATTTATTTGTAAAAGACAAACACAGATTTCTTGGTAATTTTTACGCGTACTGAAGAGATAAACAAACAGGGACGTATTACAAAAATTTAAAACAGAATCTATAGACATTAAATAAAACGTTACAATTGAACAGCAAAGCATTATGATTTTTGAATATCACCATTTATATCCCATATATTATTATATCATTTACATTAAACGGGTATTCAATCGAATGGGATGACTGCAAGTATCAAAAATTAAAAAAGAACTGTAATAAATTATATATTTGCCGCGCCTTAATAAATATGATATTTCTATGATGATACACTATTTTTTTTTTCGCCGAAAATTGTTGATTACCAAATTATCGCCCCTTTATGACCTTGTAGATACATTAATAGACAACGCCAAAATTATATCTATACTAATCTCT